TGCTCTGGGACACACACCAGACTGTCCTCAGTCGTGTCTCTGTGTGTACCTTGGGATGCTAAGCAGGTAGTCCAGCGTGGCGCTAAGCTCCTCCATGCTGGTCTGATCTGAACTGAGAGGGATGTTCAGAATCAGACCACTGCGCCGGTCTTTGCCCCCTAAAGAGTGACAGGCAGATGGGTGGGAGAGGGGAGGAATCAAATTACAGCGCAAACAGCAGTGCTAACTGGGATGACCACAGGATTGAGGAAACAGGTGTCGATATTTCATTTTCTTTTATTTTAAATCCAAGTGTTTTACCTGACAAGAAGGCCAGTTTCTTCTTGAGAATGGGGAGGATGGTGGTCGCTTCCATTGTGACAGCAGACATCTGTAAACACACATGCAAACAGTTTTTCCTCCTTAAGTCTAAGGTATCCTTTCTAAAGCTAAAAGCAGTGTGAGTTAGTGGAAAAGAGGCCCACTGTTACACGAGATAGTCAATAAACTCCAACACTAGACCACAGTTTTCAAACCTGCACAATCAGATGTTGGCCCACAGGCTCACACTTTAACAGCTCTGAGGTGCTTGACCAGAATGTGAATGTGCATTAACTACACAGAAATCCCGCAGCTAACGAGTTTACAGCGTCCTTGCAAGTCAGTGCAGGAGCACAACAGCCATAGGTGATAAAAAACAGCTCTGGGGGTCGCTGCTAAAAAGCTGCATCCAGCTCCGAAGTGTCAGAGCAATATCAGCGAAGCAGCACTGTGATTTTTGTGTGCGGATTTTCTCTCAGCTGGCGCTTCTCCCGGCCGATTCAGATTCTTGGCTCCGGCCTCGGCCTGCGATTTACTGCCCGCCTCATCGGCATGTCAGCGCGGTTCAAGCAGTCAGCCAGTAAATCAGTCAGTTTGCATTTCTGTCAGCTTATCGGCCAACTTAACATCTGTGGTGATTTTTTTTAACCCCCGCCCTTTCTACAGTTGTTGCATTGTTTCTCACACTCTCCTATTAAAGGCTGTGCTCATTTAAAGAACAGTCTGGGCTTTTCAGTTAATTACAGCAGTGCTGGAGGACTTAATGTAGGCTCTACAGAAAAATGTCGAACTATTCCTTTTTTATTCCATCTCAGTGTTTTTGTAGATTTAGCTCCTTACAATCTAAGCTGCTTTCTGTTGCTTGTAATTTGAGACACAGCAATCACCCCCATGCAAGCCATAACACAGGATTGCAACTCCTTTAATTTTAACTTTAATTTTAGTGTAGTGTTCGGATTTATTCAGCTACACAGGCATGCTGAGTGCAATCATGCAGTTCACATAGTGACCTTGACGTGATGTGGCACACAGACACTCAGCACTTTATCGAGTTTCTAACTTGGAGTTATATTAAAGCTTTGTGTTTGCAGTATTCTTGTTTTTGGCCTTACAGTGAGTCATGTCGATCTGGTGTCTGGAGAGCTGTGGGGTCCTTGCTTTATTACATCTGATGATCACACAGTTCTGACTAGTTGAAGATTTTGAATTCTTTCAGTCATGACATATTCGATCATTTTTACCTCTTTTTTCAAAAGTATAAACTCATGCTCCACTATCTTCTGTTACTGTTTCTGTTCTGCTCCTCTGCTAAACTTTGCGTCACATTTATAATTTGGCACAAAGGTGTTCATTGTGCTATTAGCAGCAGATGTAGTATTAGTTAGATTAAATGATTAGGTCCCTGCAGCACCAGTCTGTGTCTATCTCCTCCTGGTGCTGCTGCTGATGGGGCTTCACCTTCGTCCTCCTGCAGCTTATCCGGCCCAGCTCGGTGTGTCTCGGCTTGGTTCGGCTCGGCCCACAGACACAATGACCTACATTCACAGCTGCAGACTGCGGCTGCTGCAGCCGTAACCTCCCCTTCACTGCAAACCTCGACCCGCCCAGCCTCGGCAGCTCCGGGATCCACAACAGCAGCTATCGATCCCGCACGTTTTCTTACCTTTTCAGTCAAATCTGCGGCATTTTTCCCTGTCCCGATTTTTTCCTCCTCCTAGTCCCCCCTCCTCTTCTCCTATGTCGCTTCTTCTCCTATGCAGTTTTTCCCTTCTTCCTCTCTCTTCCCTACTCCTCCTCTTCTGTGTCCTCTTGGGCGGATTTTTCAGCAGATAGCGAATCTGTTCTCCATGAAAAACACCGAGGAGCTCAGCGAGCTCACAGTACGCTTTCAACACCGCTGCAGTCCTACTCCAAACACACACTCACAAGGCAGGCGTTGGAGCTGGCTGTTGTGCGCAGCCTCAGTGTAGCCAAATCGAAGAACGCGACTTCCGGTGAAAACGACTTTCCAAATAAATGCCTGGAGGAACAATTTCTCACCACATTTTATAGAGGAGCCAATGTTTACTTATGCATTACTTATCAGCATTTACTTACAACCACGATTTGCACACTTTTGCCCTCTTTTGTTTTTTTTCGTTTGGTTTTTTCAGAAACATTGGAAATATGTTGTGTGTCATGTAATTATAAAATATCAACTTTTTCTTAATTGACAGAAAAAATCCGTGAAAAACAAAAAAACAAAACTATGGACCCACTGTAATAGTGGGAAAAAAGAAAATTTAATTTAATTTATCTGTGAATTATTACATTGGTGTAGTAGAAATTCTAGTCTGGCACCCATCCTCTATGGGAGGTTTCGTTTTGTATCTTATTATCATTATTATAATAATTATTATTTACTTCATTTGGATTTTTTTTAAATTTACCTTTTATTGGTTTCAGTGTTAGTTTTAGTCTTTGTAATTATTATTGTATGGACGGCATAGAGAAAGAGAAAATACACACAAGTAGTCACATTTTTTTCTTATTAGGATTATTAGGATTTTATTATTAATATTACTGTTCTTATCATCATCTCTATTATTATTATTGTTATTTCTATTATGTAACCAACAACAATCCAAAGCATCAGTAACCACTGCAAGCACTCCACCCTCACGTCTTATATGGTAACTCCTCAAAGTCTTTTTATTTCATCAAAATGATATAAAAAAAATTGTACGTTTTAAACACAAATTTTAAATCGTATAATCCAAGCATGGCAACTGCTCACACGACTTAAATTCAAGTTGATTTCAAATTTAAAAATGTAATTTTTTTCTTTTTTTTTTGTTTCACTTCCATATTCCTGCTCAGGCTGAATAAGTGTTTTTGTGGTGATTTCCGCTGCGGCCTCACAACAAGAAGGTTCCTGGTCTTCCTGGTCTCATGACTGGGGCCTTTCTACATGATGAGGTAAACACTGTATAGTTTATGGGGGGGGGGAATGTATTAAAAAAAAAGTTTAGAGAATAAAAAGAACATATACATGGTTAAAAATGTGGCTGACGATTGCTAACACAAGACTAGAAAAGCAAATTCAATTCATTTGTTCATTTCTGCATCACGAGCTTTAAAAGGCAGTTGAGCATTTGATCTCAGACAGAGAAGTCTCGCTGACAGCTGGCTTCTGGACCTCAGCTGAATTCCCATCATCCTTTTGTCGACAGAGCCCTTTAAATTTGAACCTGGAAGCCAAATGAGGAGAGCTGCATCAGTTAGGCAATATTAAACAATAGATATTTGATATATATTTGCATTATTTGTTTTGTTTTTTCATTTCAGTTTTTTTTCACATTGTAAGATAAGATAAGATAAGATAAGATAAGATAAGATAAGACTTTATTCCCTCGGGTGGGTTCCTCTGGGAAATTCGGTTTCCAAAAGCACAGCACCGACAGAAGTTACAGAGTTAAAGAATATTATATATACACACACACACACACATGTATAAATACAGAGACATATATAAATAAAATATACGAAGGGGATAAATAGAATAAATAGGAATAAAAATAAAAATACAAGTGAATTGCACATTT